TGTTTTTTGAATAATAAGAATTTTTGTTGCTAATCTGTTGCTAAGAGATGAGTGTGTTTACTGGTAACCAAGTGCCACAAAGTAAACTTCAGAGTTTTACTTTTGCAAAATGTACCAGCTGTAAATGTCTTGTGTCTAATCAGTTAAGCATTATTTCGAAAGAACTTATAAACTATATAACTTATTATTAATTTGGTTTTAAGAGATAAGCGTTTTCTACTGCAACGAACTGCCACGTAGTGTAAATCGAGATTTTTACTTTTGTGTTGAATGTGTGTTTTATAATATATCTACTACTAATGACAAAAAGAATGAACTTTTCTGCAAAATTCACCAACTGCACAATTCTTAATAAGTATAAAATAAGTAGTATTTCAATAGAGCATAAGAATTTTATTTATTTTTTTAACAATAACAATATTTGTTGTTGTTAGTATGTTGCTAAGAGAGGTAACCAAGTTCCACAAAGTAAACTTCCGATTTTTACTTTTGCGAAATGTACCAGCTGTAAATGTCTTGTATCTAATCAGGTAAACATTATTTTGAAAGAGCTTATGTTTTATAAAGTATATAACTTATTAATTTGGTTTTAAGAGAGGTAAGCGTTTTCTACTGCAACGAACTGCCACGAAGTATAAATCAAGACTTTTATTTTTGTGTGGAATGTCTGTTTTGACAAAAGGTCAGTAGAGGAGTCTGAAAAAAAAATCAATGAAGATAGCAACAAAGTGGATAAGCTTTGTCGCTATCTTTGTTATTCTCCATCTCCAGCCGTGTCTTTTCCCTCTTCCCACTTCAGGACAGTTAGTTAAACTTAGTGTTTAACTAAAAAATACTGTGTACTTGTCCAAAGGTTCACAAACAAGGCCAAGACAAGCATTATTATCATTTCAGAATTTGAGGTTAGTATAACAGAAATGTACATTAAATGCACAGTGGCACAGTTGATAGAAGTGTTGCCTTGCAGCAAGAAGGTTCTGAGTTCGATTCCCGGCCCAGGGTCTTTCTGCGTGCGTGGGATCTCTCCAGGTATTCTGGCTTCCTTCCACAGTCCAAAAACATGACTGTCAGATTAATTGGTCTTTCTAAATTCTCCCTAGGTGTGTGTGTGCGTGCATGGTTGTCTGTCCCTGTGTTGCCCTGGACAGACTTGGACAGACTGGGATTACCCAGTCTGTCCAGGTAATCCCTGGACAGACTGGCGACCGGTCCAGGGATTAACCTGCCTCTTGCTGGAGAAAGGCACCAGCAGCATTTTAGTGCTTGACTCCTTAAGTCGGTAGTTAGGTTTTTCTCATAGTTACCCCCCGGTGTAAGAAAATGGATGTAAAAGAAATAGTCACAGGACTAAGGAAAACAAAACTTACGCTTTCTCTTCTTATTTTCAAATAGGCCACCCTGACTTNCCTGCCTCTTGCTGGAGAAAGGCACCAGCAGCATTTTAGTGCTTGACTCCTTAAGTCGGTAGTTAGGTTTTTCTCATAGTTACCCCCCGGTGTAAGAAAATGGATGTAAAAGAAATAGTCACAGGACTAAGGAAAACAAAACTTACGCTTTCTCTTCTTATTTTCAAATAGGCCACCCTGACTTAAAGAGATGGCATGGGCAGCAGGTGATTCATATGATTGTTGATGTGGCTGGTCTATGGGAGAGACAGATGGCAGAGTGGGGAGGAGAGGCAGCTGGAGAGATGCTTCTGGCTCTTTTCTTCTGGAAAGCTGGCGAGGACGGAACAATAGGAGGAGAGACAGGAACCAGATCAAGCACGATCACAGTCTCTTCCTGGTTCTGTGGTATGATCTTTGGATGCTCCTCTGTAAGCATCCCAGGCTGCTCCTCAGCTGTGGTCTCTGTTGGTTCATAGATGAGGTTCTCAGCTTTTTCACCAGCCCAGAGCTCCTTGGGTGAAAAAGCCTGTCCTGTGGAGGTGTGGGGCTGCACTGGTACAGGCGTGCCTAGGAAAGACATAGTTTTACAGAAAACAGACATAAATATCTATAGACACATATCTTGCTCGCTCTCTGTGGACTTGATATAACGCACTACAGAAGTACACACACTCTCACACACACGTACATGCATTACCTACAGAGTGGAGAAACTCATAAGCCATCTTAATCTTCTCAAGAAAATTCTTGGTAGTAGCAGTGGTCTCCAAATGAGTAATTACATCTGCTACCCCACTTGCTTGAATACTTTTCTTCCTTAACAAGAAATAAAATAGGCTTGTAGCCTAAAGCATGAAGTTTGCACAACTGCAATTGATAAGAACATGTAATAAATTACTTAAACACACCATCCTATTGGAGCAGTTGTTTTCCATCTTTAGCAACATATTGGTAAAATATTTTATATTTTCAAAGTCGTGTGCTTTGTGGTGTTAACATCTCAACGTCTTCATATGGAAAAGTCAGAGAAGAATTTTTAATTTAACAAGAGGAGTACAGGTTACTTTTTTGCTCATTAACAAAATGTAACCTGTACATAACAGAACTTTTTCAGTCTAAAAATTTCTACTTACTGCAATTTGCGCAGAATCGATTATTCGGGAAACGTTTCTGTTTTTCACAACAGTTTCCCTCCACTGATTGTTGAAAGTCTGCACCTTTTTTTGTGTGGAAAGGCTCTGGTGGCAGACGAAACAAGTTTTTCTGTTTGCCTGATTGGGCGTTTGACACTGTGTGCATGGCCTGAATTTGAGGCTTGTCATACTTAAAAAACGATGGCAAAGTGCAAAAAAAAACAACAACAAAAACAAACAACAACAACAAAGACTTCTGATGGACAGACAGACAAAAACAGACAGACAGACAAACAGAATTGTTGACAAATTAAGTGAAGAACAATAGACAAATTAAGGACACAAAGATGAGGGACAGATACGACAGACGTGGCTCTTAAAAGTGCCTTTTGTGGGTGCTATGAAGGAGCAGAAATATGTGTGAGATGATGAGATCAAAGAAGAACCAGTTGCTAATGTAGCTAGCTTCCCGCCTATTTCTCCCCGGAAAAAAAAAAAAAAAAAAATTAAATGTTACAAACGTGTCTAAATGTTTTCAACCATTAGCGGCACAGTCCGACTGCCATTAAGTCCTAAAACTGCAATCAACAGCTTTATAACGT